CCCCAAGCAGCTCCTTACTTCATACCTGCAGCTCGGATATACTGGCCCCCCCGGCCTGGCTCACTCTCCACATTGTTGATGAGGGTCCCCACAGGCAAGGCCCCAAGAGGATGTGCATCTCCTTCCCGAGGAGCAACTAAAAGACAGAATTTCATCAGTACCAAAGCCCTTGCAGCCTCCCAGCCCACACACATCCGGTGGCTATCTCTCACCTGCCATTCGGCCTATGTGGTCGGAATTTAGGATTATATCTCCAGCCTGCATATTTTCTGTGGCAATGATCCAGCGTTTCCGGCTGCCCCCAGCAACCAGAGCTATGTCTGCTGACCTGTTCAGGGTGAGCGACAGGTGAGCAGACCATCTAGGCAGCCCCATATCTTCTGAAAAGCCACAGAGCAGTCATTCAGTCACACCATCATCACCCCACATCCTGAACTTGCCTACAGGGATCATAGCGGACAAGGATGACCTTCTCCTCAAATGGTCCTGGCTTGGTTTCCTGCTCTGGCCGGAACCGAAGAAAGTCAATCATGCGATAACGTTGCTTGTGGCCCCCGCCAATACCATGCACTCGGATTCGGCCTGTGGTCAGGACAGTGAGGGGACATAACCCAGGTCAGATGAACAGGCCTGTCCTGGGCAGACAGCAGTGTTTCTAAACATTATGACTCAAGCAGAAAATGATAAAAATTTTCATAGCACAATGGGGTAAATGGGGATGGGGAAACACACAGACATTGGTAAAAGCATAATTATATGATTATTAAAACTATAAGATAAATTCTTCAAGAATTTATAAAACTTCAAGATAAATTCTCTACAAATTACTGAATTCAGTAAGTTTACTGAGGGCCATGTAAATAGTGCTCAATTTCAACTGTTATAAATTTTTTTAAGGATGTGAAGAAAGCTTTCATGAAACTTGCTGTGTATGCCCAGTGTTCAATGATCTAGCTTGTCTTTAGGAGCACAGACCACCTGTCTATTTGCTTTGTATTCTACTCTTGTTCTTATATACATACTATATGTAGGAGTCCAATAAGTGTGCTTTAATTATATTCCTCTGCCTGTATCAGTATACAGAACTAGGGTCCTACCATGTTTTTTCCCTTTACCATTTAAATCCTCTTGCCCTTGCTCCCACCTGTGTGGTCTCGGCCTCCAGACTTCCTCTTCTTCAATGGTGTAGTGGTGTATGTGGTACGACTTTTCCAGGACACAAACTTGGCACTAAGGGCCACAGAGGTAAGGATTGGGCGGCAGGGGAGCAACATTGAGGTAGAGGGCAGCTGGCAGAGGGCATTGTTTGTCACCTAGAGATAAACATAAATCTCTTTCACTTGAAAGCTAACTGAAGGAGAAACATCATAGAACAGAGCAAGGGCAGAGACCAAGTTTAGCTTGTAGCTCACTTCCTCCTGGAAGCATCCCAGACCAGCTGTCCAAAAACTCTATCCTTCACAGCTTGCACAAATACCAGTGTGGAATGTTTATTCAAGTGTTTGTGTGTATTGATTACCTGTCCTCATTTGATCCTTTTACCTCTTAAGTATTTCTGTAATGGAATGTTCTCCTTTGGTGTGTCTACTAAATCTGGCTCAGTTCTCCATCTCCAAGAAACTTTTCCTTCCCTAAACAATTCTCTTCTCCAGAGCTGGTAACTTCCACATATCCATGCATCACCATCAGCATTAATGCCTTTTGCTCATTTGCATTATGTTTCTGGGAGTTTTTCAGATATGGAGGGTCAGGATTATTCTGTCTTGTTCCCTGTTGTATTCCCAGGATTTCACAGAGTAGGTTTTGAATTTTAAGTATGCATCTGCAAAACTCTACCATCAGCCGGAGAGGTTCACAGCAAGACTTTTAATTTCTCTTAACTGTGATTCATTAATCACCCACTAGGGACCATGTGATACCTTCACCTTAGGCTCCTATTCTTGGTATCTCGCCCTGCATTCTCTAATCTCATCCTTAATGGTTGTTATAACGGTTACGATGTCATAACCATTATGATATAATCTCAGGCTTTGAAGCCAGACTGCCTAGCTCAAATATTTGGTGTATGACCTTAATTAAGCTGCTTATCAGTTTTCGCATATGAAAAATGGGAATAATAATATAAGGTATAACTAACTTACAGAATGGTTGAAAAGAATTCGCTTATTTAAAACCTCTTTTACTTGTGCCTGGCTTATGACAGACACCCAGTAAATGTCAATTACTACTGAAACCCGTACAACCGGTTATCTGTAAAGCACTTGTACCTCCAATATCTCGTCTGAGGAATCCAGCGGCCCTGTGAGACAGCAACAATTATACAGGAGAAAGCTGAGGATTAGAGAGACTTATCCAAGGTCACGGGCCTGCGTGACTAATGAGCAGACTCGCATCCCCGCCTATCCCCGGTGTCCCTTCTCGGGCAGCCCGAACAGAAACAGCCACATTCCCGGGTAAAGTGGATTACCTGGGCGGCCGGGAGCATACTCGGGCCGGGGGCCGCAGCACCCAGGGGCGTCAGACTCAGAGAGCCTAGAGCACGGGTCAGGACTCGTAGAGCCATGAGGGTAGCCAAGCTCCGCTGAGTTCAGCGCACCACCATTACCTTTAGCCAGGCAGCCTGGCGCTCCGGGATGACGCTAAAGGCTCTGTGTGCCGTCCCTCACTCAAGACGTAAAAGAGGCGGAAGGAAAACCAAAGAGCAAGCTGTATACACACCTCCTTTCGTGCCCGCCTGTGGTTAGAGCCAATCCTCGGGCGGCTCTTAGGTCGCGTGACTAGGGAGCAGGCCCCGCCCCCCGGAGCCGTCAAAACAATTGCCTCGAGCGGCAGCCATGATGGATTTAAAGGGGCAGTACCGAACAGGGAGGCAGCCAGACTGACACACTGCAGGTGAGTCTTTGAGAGTAACTCTGGGGCTGTGGGTTAAGGTCCCGCTACCTCTTATTTCCGCTCTCTCGGACAGATAACCCCCCGCTGACTGACCTCACACAACTCCAGACACACTAAAAAAACTCCGCCCCCTGCGATTCTTCCCGCCCCTCAGACAGACAGACAGAAAGTCGGCCTGCCCCGCCCCCTGCGCTAGCAACTGACTAAGTGACCGCGGGATTGTGGGGCTGCTGAGTCCCCACCCGCGACGTGGACCTCGGTCGTCCATCTGCACCTCCCCCGGGCGCCCTTGCCCATCGCACTATATCCCCACCCCGGGCCCCAGGGCAGGCCGGCAGCCTGCGGCCCTCCGCAACCGCATTCCAAAGCCGAGGAGACCACCTCCCAGCACTCAGCAGACCTGCCATTCCACCTGCACCCTCAGGCATCTGGGAGGCACCTTAAGGTGACTCAGAGCCTGTTAGCAGGTGATCATAACGGAGACAAAGCCATGGGAGTGACTGAGCCGGGGGTGACCGGGTCTCCCTCCTTACTCTCAGCCAGACACGCCCCTTCCCGCAAGTCCCAGATTAGTCTCACTCCCTTCTTGGGAGAAAATAGCTCCCCAGGCTTGGGGTGAGAGATTGGCCTGGGGAAGGAGGAGGGACACTAGTCCTCTTTGAAGACCTGTAGGCAGGGGGAGGGAGGATGTTTGTCCTGGGTGGGGCTCTGCGCCAGGTCCTCTGGGTGGCTGTGAAGTGGCGAGGAAAGGGGTGAAAACTCTGGACTTCTGGACTTTGGGCAGGGATCCTTCTGAGTCTCTGGCTGCTGAACAGTTTCTTCCGGGCTCTGGCCTGAATGCCACAGCCACGGGCCGTGCTGGGTAAACAGGTAAGAGGACTTTAAAGATGAGAAACAAGGCCCTTTTGAGGAAGTAGGATGACAGCCTGAGACCTGGAGGGTGAGAAATATGGGCTGAAAGCTAGTGGGGAAAGAGGGCTGACCAGGGAGGGAGATGCTGGTCTCCTCGCAGCTCCGTGGGTGACACAGCCTGAAGCCCTTGAGTCCTTTGGGGCCTTCTCATCTGGGTCCGGCGAGAAGGCTCCTGTTTTCTTCTTTTCTCTCTTTTCCGTGATTTAACTTTGAAACTTACCCTTCCCTTTTCCCCATACCTCTGCACTATTTTCTGCATATTCTTCTGTCTTCTTTACCCCTATACCCTTTGCAGTTCTCCCCAAACACCCTCTGTGTTTCTTGTAGTGCCGTCTCTTATCTCCTAATTCCTTTTCCTAACCCAAGCTCTCTCTCCAGTTCCTTTTCTGTTTTGGTCCTAAATTCTAAATCCCTCTGCTAGTTCTCAGGACCTTTGTTCCTTCTTTGTTCTTTTTTCATTTAAGTCACTTCCTCTGCCTCTCTCTTTCCCACAACCTTAAGCTGTGTGCTTTCAGTGTTGTAGGCTCCCTCCCCACTGGTCACTCTCTCTCTCCAATTAAAACACAGCATTGCCCTAGCCGGTTTGTCTCAATGGCTAGAGAGTCGGCCTGCAGACTGAAGGGTCCTGGGTTTGATTCCAGCCAAGGGCACGCACCTTGGTTGCAGGCTCAATCCCCAGCCCTGGTTGGGGCGTATGCAGGAGGCACCAATTGATGTGTCTCTCTCACATTGATGCTTCTCTCTCTCCTACTCCCTTCCACTCTCTCTGAAAAGCAACAGAAAAGATATCCTCAGGTGAGGATTAAAAAACAAACAAAAACACAGGATCACCCATACTCTCTCATCTCTTAACTTAGATCCCCACCACCATGTAACCAAGGCGCTGAGCCTCTCTTTCTTATTTTTACCTCACTTGAGTTCTGTTGTTTTCCTAGCCCAGGCAAAGTCCTCCAGGCCAGGATGTCGGGCCTGGTGTTGGGGCAGCGGGATGAATCTGCAGGGCACCGGCTCAGCCAGGAGGAGATCCTGGGAAGCACTCGGCTGGTGACCCAAGGGCTGGAGGCCCTGCACAGTGAACACCAGGCTGTACTGCAAGGCCTGTCCCATACCATCGAGTGTCTGCAACAGGGAGGCCATGAAGAAGGACTGGTGCATGAGAAGGCTCGGCAGCTACGCCGTTCCATGGAAAACATTGAGCTGGGGTTGAGTGAGGCCCAGGTGAGAGGGAGGACATGGTGCCAAGTGGCCCATGGAGGAGCAGTTGTCTGATTGGAGGTTTGGGGTCGCTTGGAATCCCTTTGTCCTAGATCCTTGCATTCATTCATTCAGTAAAAATGTGTTAAGCTTCTACTGTGTGGCAGGCACTCATCTTCTGTGCACTGGAGACACATCACTGAACACAATACTCAAAAATCCTTGCCATCCTAGAACTTACATTCTAGCTGGGGGAGGCAGACAATACACAAATAAATAAGTAAATGATTCAGTATGCCAGAGTGATAATTGCTAAGGATAAAAGAATAAAAATAAAGCAGGGAAGGAGATTAGGAAGTATGGAGAGAGTATATGATTTTAGACAGGGTTTTCAAAAAAAGGCTTCACTGAAATGGTGACATTTGAGCAAAGGTTTGAAGATGAGGGAATGAGTCATGCAGTAAATGGGGGGAAAGCGTCCTAAGTAGAGTGGACAGCAAGTGCAAGGGCCCTGAACCAGAGCCTTCCCAGTGACTTCAGTAAGGGGCCAGCGTGGCTGCAGTAGAGTGAGTGAGGGGAAGTAAAATAGAAAATGAAGTTCAAGAGGTAATGGGGTTGAAGAGAGGGAGTCAGATCATGTGGAACATGTAGGTCATCATAATGACAAGGAGATGAGTGATGTGTTCTAACTTAACATTTGAAAAAGATCATTTGACTGCTGGGTTGAGAGGAGACTCTAAGGGAACAAGGGCAGAAACAGGGAGGCCAGTGAGGAGGCTATTTAATCCAGGTAGGAACTGATGGTGGTTTGGCCCAGGGTGGTGACTATGGAGGTGGTGAGAAATTGGATTCAGGGTGTATTTCAGGTAGAGCTGTTGCTCCCCAACCCCGCTTCCTGGCTCCTGCTAGTCTTGCCGCCTCCCAGTAGGCTCCTCTCCTGCCTATCCCTGAACACTCCTAGCCAGCATCTGGTGCTCACAGGATGTGCCCACCTAGGTGATGCTGGCTTTGGCCAGCCACCTGAGCACAGTGGAGTCTGAGAAACAGAAGCTGCGGGCTCAGGTACGGCGGCTGTGCCAGGAGAACCAGTGGCTTCGGGACGAGCTGGCGGGTACCCAGCAGCGGCTACAGCGCAGCGAGCAGGCTGTGGCTCAGCTGGAGGAGGAAAAGAAGCACCTGGAGTTCCTGGGGCAGCTACGGCAATATGACGAGGATGGACACACCACGGTAAGTGTGTGCAGGCAAGGCTGGGGGGGTGGAAGGGGTGGGGATGTGGATAGCTGGGAGTCACCACAAACATGGGGCAATTGCTCCATCATCTGCAGGGGACAGCAGTGCTGCCCCATCTGCCTGATTCACATCCTGACCCCATCTACAGATGACAGTAAAGGGGAAAGAATACTCACTCATTCAGTCAACATTAAACTAAATGACTATCACACATGCCAGGCACTGTGCACTCCACTGGGGATGAAACAGTGAACAAGGCAGACAGAGTTCCTGCTCTCAAAATTATATATTTGTGCAGGTGAAACAGATAATCACCTGGACAATTCCAATCCAGAATCCTAAGTGCTACAATTAGGGAAAGCATAGCCCAGGTTAGCAAGAACCTCCTAAAGTTTTCTCTCAAAATGTATGAAATTTAACCTTCACTCAGCAGGCATTTGTATATCTCTATGCCTTATGCAGTTCAAGAAGATGTATATAGGAGACGTATAGAGAACTAGAAAAGAGAGTTTCTGTTTTTTCAGGCTTATAGTGTAGCTGTAGGGACAAAACTTCCACCTGAGAACACATGTGCAACCACACAAAGCAGCAAGTGCTCAGTGCTGAATGAGATAGGTTCCTGGGGCTGGAACAGTCTGAGAAAGAGTCACAGAGGAGGCAAGGTACAGGGATGGTAAGATTTAGGTTGGATTTTTACATTTAAATGGTTAGGAGTTCGGATGGAGTTTGAGCGATGATGAGGAAGAAGGAGTAGCTTTCTAAACTGGGGCGTGGGGGTGTCATAGATAAGGCTCCAGTGCTGGAAGGCTGGTCTGTTCCAGGGAAAGAGGGGTGACGTTCATGGGACACATTGGCGAAGCTGGGCAGGAGGGTTAGAGGTGTTTGTATGGGGCTGCAGTGCCGTGTGGGCACAGTGAATTTCCCCATTGTGGAAGTAGGTTATACAATGAGGGTTGGGCACTAAGTCCAGCATGAACAGTGGCAGATGTTGGGCACCAAGCTGAGGTAGACACCGAGTATGTGTCAATAAGATCAGACACACTCCCTGCCCTCAGGACAGACAGGACAGACATATAATCAATGCAAACACACAGGGCTATAATTACAAGAGTTGAGCGGGCAAGAGGTGGGGGCTGGAGAATGAGGGCGCTTAGGAAGGAAGCTCTGAATGTGAAGGAAGGGAAAGTCGTGAGATTCATGAAGGAGAGGTCTGAGCTTGGTGAGACAAATGCTGGCCTTCCCCAAGGGCAGGGACATAAACAAGATTCTTCTCCTGGGCGCCACCTGTCATGTATTTCATGGTTCAGAGGGGCCCTGAAGACATTACTGGGGATATCTTCACCCAGATATGCTGCTGCTTTCTTTCTAGGAGGAGAAGGAGGGTGATGCCACCAAGGATTCCCTGGATGACCTCTTCCCCAATGAGGAGGAAGAAGACTCAAGCAATGGCTGTGAGTCTGTCTTTGGAGTGGGAGGGTGGAGAAAGGGCAGCAGGAGCCTGGTCCAGCTGTGCCCCCTCCCCAGCCCCCATATACAGGATGCTCGCCATCCAGAAATAGGTTCTCTACTTCCTCTGGAGATGGGGCAGAGACTTGGCTAGTACTTTGATTTCCTCAGCCTTCCCATCATTTCTTATTCATCAATATTTATTAAACACTTAATATGTGCCAGGTATTGTGCTAGGCACTAGGAATACCAAGATGAGAATGACAGGGGTCTGGCCAGTAAGAAGGTCACAGTTGGGTGGGAGAATGAGCCTGAGTGGAAGAATGTGAACTCCTTAAGGGAAAGAAGCAGGTCTTATTTATTTTTTTTAATATCTTTATTTATTTCAGAGAAAGGAAGGGAGAGAGTTTCAGAGAGAATTAGAAACATCAATGATGAGAGAGTCGTCACTGATTGGCTGCCTCCTGCATGTGGGCATGTGCCCCGACCGGGAATCAAACCGTGATTTCCTGGATCCTAGGCTGATGCTCAAGCGCTGAGCCGCGCCTGGCTGGGTGAAGTAGGTCTTTCTTAGCCTTGTATCTCTGGCACAGCCCCTGGCTCATATTTATGAGGTATATGTTTGCTGAGTGAATGAATTACTGGGTGAACAAATGGGACTGTCATAGGCACAGGTTCAAGGGAGTGGGCAAAAGAATAGCAGCTGAGACAGGTCTCCAGAGAGAGAGCCTGGTGGGGGGCAGGTGCAGGCATGGAATAAGACATGGCGTGGGGTTGGAGAGGGCAGGCAGCACAGGAGAGAGGAAGAGTTCCCTGAGGAAGTTTCCTGTTCATTTTCTGGGATGGTTTAGTGTCACGTGGCCAGGGCACCCAACATAGTGGATATGAGATCCCAGCGAGATTACGGACTCTGCACAACTTGGTGATCCAGTATGCAGCCCAGGGTCGCTATGAGGTGGCCGTGCCACTTTGTAAGCAGGCACTGGAGGACCTGGAGCGCACATCTGGCCGTGGCCACCCAGATGTTGCAACCATGCTCAACATCCTTGCTTTGGTGTATCGGTGAGTACTGCCTTCCTTTTGGCCACAAATCTGCCTCCAGATTCCCACCTTGATCCACCTTTGGCTCTCATTCCTTCTGTCCACTGGGTACCTCTTCTCCCTGCTGGGCCTCCCAGGTATATGCCACTTGGAGTTCTCCTGAACCAGAACTCTCATTCTTTCCATACCTGAGCCCTTGATCCCAGAGAACACTTTCCCTCAGGCTGTTTATTTTCCCAGTCTTCTGGGGAGGGTCTCTGTCTCTGTTTCTCTCTGTCTCTTGTGTCCAGTAACTTTGGCCTCTTCTTGACATGGCAGACATTAGCATGCAGTAGGGGTGTGTTGGTGAACCCCTCTCACTGCTCACACTGGACTTCATGTCTTCTGATGGTGGGCCCAGTCCCTGAGTGTATCTCAGTCACCCCAGAAGAGGGGAGGGAAGGAGATGGCTTGGGGGCAAAGGTCAGGGTAACCCCTTGAGACTTTAATCTTCTTCCAGGGATCAGAATAAGTATAAGGAAGCCGCTCATCTGCTGAATGATGCCCTCAGCATAAGGGAGAGCACCCTAGGCCGAGACCATCCTGCGGTCAGTATTCCTTCCCTTCTTCCCCAGGCTCTTTTGGCCTCTCAGCTTGTCTATCTGCTGCCCTCAGCCCAGTCACTGGGGATGCTCAGGAAGGAAATGTGAGGACTCCTTTCTTCTGGGCACTGTCTGCTGATCCCAGAGGTTCTCAACCCAAATGACTCCCCTTTGTTAAATTTATTTTTTATTTTTAAATTTTTTTAACCCTCACGGGAAGATATTTTTTCCATTGCTTTTTCAAGAGAGTAGGCGGTAGGGGGGAAACATTGATATGAGAGCGAAACATTGATGGGTGCCTCCTGCATGCTCCCAACCGTGGCCGAGCCTGCAACCGAGGTATGTGCCCTTCGCTGGAATTGAACCCAGGACCATTCTATCCATGGTCCAACGTTCTAACCACTGAGCAAAACCAGCTAGGGTGACTCTCCTTTAAAAAAAAAAGTTTTGAGAGAGAGAGACAGAGGAAGAGGGAGAGCGAGAGAGAGAAACATTGATGTGAGAGAGAAACATCCATCTGCTGCCTCCTGCACACACCCTACTGGGGATTGAGCCCACAACCTGGGCATGTGTCCTGACCTGGAATAGAACTGGTGACCTTTTGGTGTACTGGATGACGCTCAACCAACTGATCCACACCAGCCAGGACCAAATGACTCCTCCTCATAATGACTATTTTCCAGAAACTTAATTCAAAGATTATGTAATCTACCTACATGTATAATTTCCAAAACATTGAATGATACTCTATTAATATAAAAGTGAAACAAATAATTTATAATAAAATGATATACATAATACATTACAATGAAATAAAAATACAGTATAACAGTTGTAGTATCGAATACAACTATGCTAAAAGATATAGTAGTCTGATATATAATGAATAACTTTAGATTTAGAAGGGGTAAGAATAGGAAACCATTCTATATAAGAAATATTATAAATGACAGAGCCCAGCCAGGTGTGGCTCAGGGGTTGAGCATCGGCCTAGGATCCAAGAGATCGAGGTTTGATTCCCGGTCAGGGCACATGCCCAGGTTATGGGCTCTATCCCCAGTTGGGGGCATGCAGGAGGCAGCCAGTCGATGATTCTCTCATCATTAATGATTCTCTCTCTCTCTCTCCCCCTTCCTCTCTCTGAAATCAATAAAGATATATTTTTTTTAAAAAGTGACAGAGCTGAAGGATTTGTGGATATGAGATTAAAATCCAGTGTTAAAATAAACAGACCAGATTTATTTGTATATGATAACGGAGAGAGAAATAAGTAGGGGTAACATGCTAAGATAAATGATAGGTTGTCAAAGTGGAGAAAATAAGAAATAAGATATTTCTGAAAATGAACTAACTCTGTGAAAATAATTCCCTATATTATGGCATGTGATAGGCAGAGATGATGTATCTCAGAAAACATAGCTCCTGTCTTGATATCCCACCAAGTATCAAAGCTTACATTGAGTGTTTGAATATCAGGCAGGACATTCAATATTTGGCTGACCTATCCCACACATGCAGAACATCTGTAGCTTCCTTGCCTCTCCAAAGGTAATAGTGCCCCCAATTTTTGTGGTGACCAACCGCCCCACCAAACCCCACCTTTGGAAATGTCAAAAAATGCCCCTAGGGGGCGATACTGTCCCCATGGAGAATGCAGAGCCACCCTGTTCAGCAATTCCTCCTCCCCTGACTCTGGTTAGGGTGGCAGAGTCCGTTTCTCTTGGGTTGTGCAGCGCGGGGGAAGATCTCCAATTCTCAAGGTCCTTGAAAGCACCAGCGTCTGAGGGGACAGGCCTGTCTTCCTAGGTGGCTGCCACACTCAACAATCTGGCTGTGCTCTATGGCAAAAGGGGCAAATACAAGGAGGCGGAGCCACTGTGCCAACGGGCACTGGAGATTCGAGAAAAGGTGCCCACATCCTCTCCCCATTCTCCCCTCCTGCTGTGAGCCCTTTGCCACCATCTCCCTTCTGGTCTACCCTCTCACCTCACTTCTTTGTTTCTCACCTCCCTATCTCTGCCTTGTTTTCTCTTCTGTCATTCCCTTTCCCTTCTTCCCTGCAGGCACATGTGCACACATGAACACACATAACTGTAGCCACCTATCACTCTTTTGCTCCCCTTTAGGTCCTGGGCACCAACCACCCAGATGTGGCAAAGCAGCTGAACAACCTGGCCCTGTTGTGCCAAAACCAGGGCAAGTATGTGGCTGTGGAACGCTATTACCAGCGGGCACTGGCCATCTATGAGGAGCAGCTGGGGCCAGACAACCCTAATGTAGCCCGGACCAAGAACAACTTGGTAAGGGGGGAGGGGGAAAGTAGGTGGAAGGAGCGGAGGGGAGGGGACAGCATTATAGTCTGGTACACTAACACCATCGCCTTTGTGCCATCTCTAGGGCTGCCTTTGGGGCTGAGGGATCTGCTTCATTTCAGTGGGAAGGCAGAAGTTCCATAGCCTCTTGGGAGTGGAGTGGGAACACTCTTGACCCTGTAGCTAGAAAAGGAGATGTGAGGAGGAACTCTGGGGAAAGTCATAAGGAGACCAAGAAGTGGAAGTCCCCGAGCCTGGTTGAGATCTTGTCTTCGTCTCTTGCTCCTATGTTTTTGCCTTCCTACCCCCAGGCTTCCTGTTACCTGAAACAGGGCAAGTATGCTGAGGCTGAAACACTCTACAAAGAGATCCTGACCTGTGCCCATGTGCAGGAGTTTGGGTCTGTGGATGGTGAGTGGTGAGGGCCTGGGGAGGGAGCTGCAAGGAGGAAAAAAAATGTAGACCAAAGGTTGGGGGTTTGGCCACAGTGGTTCCCAGGGGGAGCCAGACCCCTTTAGTCCAGCCATGTGGGCCTCTGGGTCCTGGCTCCCCACATACTGTTCAGCTCAGTTCTCTAACCTTGCCATGCCATCCCATGTATCACCCCCAGATAACCACAAGCCCATCTGGATGCATGCAGAGGAGCGGGAGGAAATGAGCAAAGTGAGTGGGGGGAGTCCAGCCTGGAGAGCCTGAGGCTACCAGGGCCTTTCTCTTACTCCTTGCACTAACCCAGTTCTTCACTTCCCAACCAAGCCCCAGCCCCAGATGCACTGTGCCTTCCCCAACCCAGCCTGCACCCTAGCCCAGCTCCAGCTGCAACCCAGCATTTCTGTACCCACATCTCTGGCTTCCTCTTCCCCTCTGTCCTCCTGCAGACCCGGCACCGTGAGGGCAGCACACCCTACGCTGAGTACGGAGGCTGGTACAAGGCCTGCAAAGTGAGCAGGTAAGCTGCAGTGAGAAGGTGGCTTGACCTCTGGTGTCTTCCATTCAAGCCCTGATCCTGGCCTCCTGGACCTTTCCCCTTCTTCTCTTTACTCTTCCTTGTTCTTAGCTCTGCTCCCTCCCTCTCCTCTTTCTTTTAAGAACCCATCCTCACTTCCTTCCCTGGTCTCACCCCCACAGCCCCACAGTGAACACCACTCTGAGAAACCTGGGAGCTCTGTACAGGCGCCAGGGAAAGTTGGAGGCGGCTGAGACCCTGGAGGAATGTGCCCTGCGTTCCCGGAAACAGGTCAGAGACCGAGAGGGGAAGGGTGTCCAAAAGGTAAGGCCCTAGAAACAGGACCACTGAGGCTTCTTCTGAGTCTCCAAAGAATAAGAGGAGGGACTGAGGAGGAAGACCTAGAGAGGAAGGTGAGGTTGTGGTTGTGGTTGTTTTTAAGTGTGTTCTTACCCCAATTTGCCCTTTGTGGTTAGGACTCCAAGTTCAAGGTTCACTTCTCTAAATGGCATTGATTAGTAAAAGGGAAGCCCTGCCCTTTCACAATTTGAAGAATCTATTAAAGAGGGGCATGGCTGGTGTGGATTAAAGAGCTGAGGTTGAGGGGAGCCCAATGTCAGAGTTTCTCAAGGTGTGGGTGTTAGCTCATTAGTGGGTCATGAAATCAATTCAGTGTGGGCCCTGGCTAAAAATATATATGCATCTATATGTAGGAATGCATTGCAAATAGAAAAGGTGGGGGGTGTTCCAGTATGTGTATACTGGGACATCAGAAGGAAAAGTGTCTTCCTTCCTGTGGCTGATGGTGGAAAAGGTTTGAATGCCCATTTTGAGGAGTAAGGAATGGGAAATCCCAGCTTCTTCCTTTTTCTTCCAGGGCACTGACCCTATCAGCCAGACCAAGGTGGCTGAGCTGCTTGGAGAGGGTGACAGTGGAAGGACCTCCCAGGAGGGTTCTGGGAGCAGTGTGAAATATGAGGGAGGTGAAGATGCCTCTGTGGCTGTGGAGTGGTCAGGGGTAAGTCTGATTATTGCCCCTTGATCTCTCAGACCCCTCCTGCTGGTGGTATTGAGAGGCTCTGAACCTGTCCATGAAGGATATGAGAACATGTCCCCACTCCAGTTCAGTCAGTCCCTCCCTCTCAGAGGTATCTCTATTAGCCAGCTAGTGACAGGGTTCTGATCTTCGGTCACTGGGCTTTTGAGGGAGGGGAGATGTGTGCAGAATAAATGGCAGGGGTAGACTCAGAAGTCTGCATGGGGTTCCCTTAGCTTCTGGTCCCCATCCCTCTCCACCAGGATGGCAGTGGGGCCCTGCAGAGGAGTGGCTCTCTGGGCAAGATCCGGGATGTGCTTCGTAGAAGCAGCGAACTCCTGGTGAGGAAGCTCCAGGGAACTGAACCCCGGTCCTCCAGGTAACAGTGAGACTGAGATATGGCAAAGCAGTTAAGTAAGCCCTGGCCTTCAAATCCTTTTGGCCCCTCACCTCTGAAGGAGAAGTGTCTTGGAGAGAATCATGGAGGAGGTCAATGGGTTGTCCATGGAGAGTTCAGGAAAAACGGGTGCCCTAGTGGGGGAAAAGACACCTGAGGAGATGCTATTTATAGACGAAGATAAGAGAGAGAGTGTGTGTGTGTGTGTGTGTGTGTGTATGGGGGGGATGGTGTGGAGGCAGTGACTTGATTTTGTGTAGCAGGCCCACAGCTTTAGTAGCACTCAAAGGTGAAGCACCATAGCTGGTGTGGCCAAGTGGTTAGAGCGTTGACCTGTGCACCAAAGGGTCGCAGGTTCGATTCCCAGTCAGGGGCACATACCTGGGTGGTTCGGGTCTGGTGCATGTGGGAGGCAACCAATCGATGTGTCTTTCTCACATCGATGTTTCTCTCTTCCTTTCTCTCTCCCCCTCCCTCCCTTCCGTGCTCTCTAAAATAAAAAATCAATGGAAAATATATCCTTGAGTAAGGATTAACCAAAAAACAAACAAACAAGGAAGAGGCGGGACCTCAATTCTTTCTTTTCCATTGTAGCAGCAACATGAAGCGGGCAGCCTCCTTAAACTATCTGAACCAACCCAGTGCAGCACCCCTGCAGGTGAGAGCAGTGCTGGTGAGCTTATTGGTGGGTGACAAAGAAAGGACAGCCATAGAGCAAGCCCAGTTAAGAGTTAGGGAAGAGTCATCTGGGATGAGGACTGGCTAGGGAACTGGAGCTGGCAGACAGAATCAGGCAGACAGCTTATTGTTGGTGGTGGCAACTAGGAAAGGGCAGTTTCAGGCTAGAGATAGTAGCAAATAAATTAATCAGGATGGGAACTTTGGAATTAGTAATACTTCAAGAAAGACTTGGGGATTCTAATTGTTCTTCGTCCTGTAGCCACTGTACAGCTTACCTTGGGGACTCAGTAGTCAGTAGTCAAGAAGAAGGGAAAAAGAAAAAAGTACTCAGTCATTTGAAAAAACAGTAATGGCATTTTAAGGGGAAATTACCACTTGTATCAACACATTCAAAGTATATGCCAATATTCATGTAGCTCTTCCAGGTATTTTTCCCACCGAACTGTGGCCTTCTGGAAAATCCTAGCAAAGCCTCAGAGCTTGGGATTGAGGTTACAGGCTCCGTCCTGGGTCGAGAGATAAGACTACAGCCACAAGATAGACAGACTCCAGGGGACAGTCTTCAGGAGGCTGAGGTCCCTGGGCTGATGGCATATGTTGTCTGTTTCAGGTCTCCCGAGGCCTCAGTGCCAGCAGTATGGACCTCTCTTCAAGAAGCTGACATTCAACCCACCCCTCAGGCCTGCGGGATCCCCCCACAGCTCTCACAGCATTCCCTATTGCTCCTGGCTCTTCCAACCCCATGGTGGGACAGTGAAGGGGGAGCAGTTAACCAGAAGATTGCTGCTGCCCTTAGGGTCTTGGCTCCCTCCTCAGGAATCCTTTCAAGAAGGACCCTCAGGACATCCTCTCCCCACCTGTGGTCCTCTAGAGTAGCTAGCTCTGAGGCTCCCAGGGTGGGTAAGGAGCAGGTATGCACCTCAGTGATGCAGCTGGCTGCTGGCTTTTCTGTCAGAGTGTTTGGGCTGGCCAAGCAAGATGCCTTGCCCTGGCCTCTCTTGTTCCCTCTGCTGCCTCACTTCAGGTCCATGTATTTCACTTTTCTTAAATAAAAGAATCAGGTAACCATTCTGCCACTTGAGTCTTGATTGAAGAGGGTAGGAAGTAAGGGTTGTGTTCGGGCCTTTCACGGAAGGGTGAGGGGCAGTGATGGATGGGGCAACAGGAGGAGTGTTGATTCTTGGATCTCTCCTCTCTTCCTTCCCCTGTTTGTATCCTCTCCAGCAGGGCCTGCAGGAAGGCATCTGGGGGATGGGGGAGGAGGCCCACAACCCAAGGAGAAGGTGCTGTGGACTGGGTTGTCAGGGACATGTGGTGGCCATGTGGCAGGACCCTGGAGTCCTGGCGCCACTGCTCCCAGGCTGTGAGGCCCTCTGTGGCTGCCCCTCCTCCTCCCAGCTGCTTGGGGGAAGGGAGGTCTAAGCAGGCCTGGGGGGCCCTCCGGAGCTAGAGGGGAAGGAGGCACTCACTATCCATCCCCTCTCAGCATATCCTGGAGGCCTGAGCAGCAGCTGGGGCCCATCTTCTAAAGCTTGACTCCTCCTGACCCGCCTCCTACACCCCTTGCTGCTTTCACAACAAAGAAAGAATGTGGGGGTGGTGGCGCTGGGGTGGGGGGTGCCTGGAACAAGGGCTGTGCTGGGCCTCCCCACAGCTGGAGACTTGGCCATGCCCTGACACAGCCCAGACTGCCTGGAGATGGACTTGGGATGAATTTGTCAGTTTAACAGCCTTCAGCCTGGCCTCTGAGCCCAGTCAGTTTCTACCTTTGGGTTCGTGTTGGTCCAGAGCCAAATCGGACCCCAGCCATGCACTGGTCCCTCACTTCTCCAAGCTACATTTCTCATGTGGCTACACAGTATCTCCAGGTTACCTTGCTTGGGCAACACCAAAGACAGCCTTCTGTTCTAGGTCTTCCTAAGGACTTCAGGTTGCAAAGTCTCCTCCCACTTTTTGGGGGAATTATTGGTCAGAGTCCCCAAGAAGGCCCAGAACTGAATATCCTCCCGGGGGCCAGGGAATCACAAAAGTCACTGGTTTCCCTGAGTCCCCTGCAGATTAGGCGGTAGGCACAGCCTACCTCCCCTTGCCTCGCTCAGGTCCCCGGCAACTCCGGGGGCCTCCTTCCGTCCTGGATCCATCTCCAGACCCCTCCCCCAACTGCGAGCTCCTCGCAGCCACGGCGGGGAAGGGGCG